TATACGATTGGATAAAAATAATGATAATCAGGTAATAAATTATAAAAATTAAGAAAAAGGGAATTTCGCATAATCAAAGAAAGATTATTGAATTAGAGAAATTTATATTACTATGGTAACAATATTTATCTGATTTAATTTTAAAGCAGCTTTTATGTATAAAAGACTTGGAAACTTAATATAATGTGAAGTTGTTTTATCAAATGTTGATAATATTGAACTTAAATTTACTAAAAGTTCTTTTTTATATTCTAGTTTTGCTGATTTTGAAATATTTAGAATTCAATGTCCTATAAGTTCTAATGCTTCAGTGATATCATTGTCATATTTATTTTCACACGAAAAAAGAGATTTATTTCCATATTTATTTCTCTCAAAAAAGTAACCTCCCTCTAAATTAAAGCATTCAGAACATATATAACGTGGTTGATGTTCATCTGATTTCTTATCATTAGAATTATTTTTTGGTGGCTCTTTGAAAGAAAAAGCTAAACAAACTTTTAGACCAGTACAAGATGTTTGCACATTATAATTAGCTATATGTATTGAGTGTTGAATATATATTTTTCCTCAACTAAAAAAAAATTTATACTTATTGCAAAATAAATAGTAATGATGATAAATCCAACTTTTTTCAATAGATCGCAATTTTTTACTATGTGGTTAGTAAAGTGAATTTTGATCATATATAAAATGAGCATAACAAACACCTAAAGAATCTAGTTCATTTTTCTCCTTTGCTTTCAAAAATATTTCTTTGTCTATTTCTCATATTTCAATTAATTGAGCTAAAGATCTTTGTCTTTTTGTTTTGTTTGAATAGCATTGTGTATGCCCATTTACTATATCTAAAAGAATACAAGAAGTTAAATTTTGATGAGATGTATCAGTATTTTCAATTAAATATGTTCTTTCTTCTGTTGTTTCTGATTCTAACTCTAGCGTTGATGTTGAATTTATATTGTCATCTTTGATTTTTATATTAATATTCTTCCAAGAAAAGTCTTCATTTTCATATGCATTAACTGTTGTATATGCTTTTTCAAAACCTATTTCATCACAGATAAATGGTTGTATTTCAATTTTGCAATTTTTACAACCATTTGCAATACTATCAGATACTATACTTTCACTAATGAAACTCATAATATCATTATCATTATCATTATCAGATAGATCATCATTTTTATTAAGATTGATATAATCAAAGTAATTTTCATTTAGAAAAAAAGATGCTTCACGCTGACTTGAACTGGTAATTTCTTTCTTCATTCATATTTAGCTTATTTTAAATGTTACAATTAATAGAACTCAGAAAGCTTAAAAATTATAGCAATATATATAATGATAATAATAGTGATAGTGATAGTGATAATGGTAATGATAGTGATAATGATATTTTATTGGGAAAAAAATAAATAACAAATTATTTGATTTTTTTATTTATCAAGATGGAATGAGTTAGCTTATAGTGATAGTTGATACAAGTAAAAGTTACTTTTATTATTTTTCTTTATATCGATATATTAATAGACTTGGATAAATAATAATCACTTAATATTAAGATAATTTCGTAGCTTTGAGCAAAATTTCTTTTATATTATAACAATGTTATTCAGGAAACAATAGATAAAAAATAAAAAACAGATATTGATTAATTTTTTTATTTAGTAAGACAGAACAAGTTATTTATAGTTGAAAGAGTTGTCATATAGATAAAAGTTACTTTTATTACTTTTTCTTTAAGAAATTATATATAATATTAATAACGATCTCTTTTTTAGACAGTTGTCTGTGAATTAACAGACTTAAGATAAATGATGATTACTTAAGATAATTTCGTAGCTTTGAGCAAAGATTCTTTTATATTATAACAATTTTATTCAGGAAAAAATAGATAAAAAATAAGAAACAAATATTGATTATTTTTTTTATTAGTAAGACGGAACAAGTTGTTTATAGTTGAAAGAGTTGTCATATAGATAAAAATTACTTTCATTACTTTTTCTTTAAGAAATTTATGTGTAACATTAATAATAATCTCTTTAAGACAGTTGTTTGTAAATTAACGGACATGATCTGTGACCGATAATAAAACTATAATATTATTGCAAAAGCTAATGATATTTTATAAAAATGATATATTACTAAGCCAAAATACAATAATAATTCCTGCACATTTATAATTATAAGGTAACAAATAATTTTTTTAATCATTTCTTATGAAGCAAACTACCAATGAAATATTTATTAAAGATAAAATTACTTAATATCGATATATTGCAACACCAATTGACTCAGATCTGTTAGATTGGTAATGTTGTTTTAAAAGAGATTTTCCAGTTCTTGCAAATATAGCATCATGTTATTTAAGTATACAAGATTCAAGTATATTCTCAGAACAGGTATTTTTTATGACAGCAAATACAATAACCGAAATTTGATGCAACTTAAAACCAGATACAGTAATGTGCTTAAAAAGTCATATTCAGCAAGTATGTAACAAAAATATAAAAGAAATTGATATTGAAGCTTCTATTTTTTAAGTCATAAATTATAAATTTTTTATTGTTTTTTTAGAATTATAAATTGTATTTTTTTAAAATTATAAATTTTTTATCTTTTTATAGATACTCCGGAGTATTGGAGCAAAATCCGTCTGGAGTGGTTTCAATTTGATTGATCCCTTGCTCCGTTATAATATGAATCCAGTTCACTCCACTCCCTACAGATTGTATATAGATAATCAAAAAAACATCCAAGCTTATTAATAAGCATTTGCGAGATCAATATTTTGTGGTTTTTGATTTCACCAAGGTAACAGATGGCCCTTTGAGCATACATATAGATTGGGACACTTTTGAATCTTTTTAATGAATAGAGTTTGATCTCAAAGATGTGAAAATTTTTTCTGTTTCTCGTAGTTGCAATTTCTATTGCTGGATCTCACTGCACAATTTCTCATTTGCTTTGATCGCTCCTTATGTTTTCAAGTAATTTTTGATGTAAACTATCAAGCTCTTTCTTAACTCGATGATTGGTTTCCTTCTCGTGATTGCAAGTGATGGATTCTTGCGTTTGCATTTTCGGTTTAATGAGTTCTCATAAACTTCTATTGTATAACACAAATATGATTCAATTCGATCAGATTTTTTGGAGATTAATTTTGGCACTCACATAATTCGTGGCCAGTCTTAATAAAAAACAGGAAACGATCAGAGTCATGTGATTTTTCTTGGCATTTTTTTTCATATGAAAGATGAGAATAAATAATATTTTGTATTGCTCGAGTGTGACTTTTGATCTCACTTTTTATCTGACCATGCCATGAATGAAGTAAGTGGGCAAGAGACCAAATCTGAACAGTGATATTACTGTGAATCGCCCTGTGATATTTACATAGGGAATTATCAACCATAGATCAACCGCGATTAAACTGTTATTGTGATAATTTTTATTTCAGAACAGTCAACTCTCGATATAACGACCATGCAGATTCTATTGAATTTATATTGTTTACAATAGGATCTGCATGGTCTTTATATCGAGAGTCGACTGTAGTTACACACCGCATACAGTATACACGTTAATAAGATAACGATAACGATAAAGCTTGATGTGGGTGGATTAACAAATGCTTTATTAATTATATCGAGATGTGAAAAAATACATTTATTTTTCGATACTAAATAAAGTTCCTGACCCAGGGTCTCGCAACAAAGCGCTCACGTGATACGCTACGCAGTATTATAATTTGGTTTTGAGACAAAAGAACTTCACAAGAAGCCAAAATCAAGATAAAAAAATGTAACATGCCCCCAATCCGCAAATTCTCATTTATCACACACCGATCAATTATGAATACATGTTCATGTAATCATTATCTGATTGTAATGATTGAAATTCAGGTGTTTCTCACAAAAGCCTTAGTGCTCGTTTTATCTTCCAATTACATATCTCTTCTTCAGTCATCACATCATACACATCCTTCATATTTGCGACATCATCCTCAAACTCAAGGTCAACCTTAGGTCTATTAAGAAACAACTCCAGCCCATCATTCTCGCCCTCAGATCCCTCAGATGCTACATTACCTACACCGCCTACACGCACATGTTCCCGGAAATCATGGAAGTTTATTCGTAAAACAAGTGGGAAACCAGCAGTGCATTGAAGTGCATGCTCAATAACGGAGATCGCAACACGTAGATCGACTCGAAAATGCTTAATCTTTAAACTATTTTCCCGATTTTCTAGCCAGAAAAAAATCCATTCGTCGTTCAAATCGGTAAGAACGATGAATACATTTTCGTTTGAGCGAATATTTGCCGTGAAGAGCTGTCCAATGGCTTGAGGAATGTGAGAATCTTGGATCGCCTTCTTTAATTTAAATCCAACCTGAATTCCACGAGCCAAATTACGACCAACGGCATTTCTTTTATTTGCAATCACCACATCTGTCGTCCCACTTATTTCGAAAGGAAGCACGTCATATTTTAATGACAAAAGTGACTTTTTGGATTTAGTGTCATAAAAATCACTTCCATAGGGAACTCGGATGTTTCTCTTTAAATAATTAATGTATCCTTCCTTGATAACATCATCTTCATTACTGTCATCTGCTTGTTGATTTTCATTTCGTGCGTCCCAGGTGAATGGTTCTGTGTTCTCGTTTCTCGTTAAATCCACATCATAATCATCGATATCGACTGTAATTATAGGAAGATGGAATTTATCGAGCAGTTCATCCAATTCCGTCTGCTTCATCGTTGAAAGAGATACAGTAGGTTTTTTCGTTTGCCTGAAATTAAAAACAAATATGAAGCTGAAAAAGATAGGAGAAATGCAAACAAAACCTATTTACCTTTCAACAACTTTAGTGAATTGTCTAACAACTTCAGTGAACATTTGGTTTTGTGTCGTGAGTGCTTCAAATGCTTGTCTCGTTAATTCAACTATATTGGTATGTTCCTCTAAGTAAACATATTAGGAGCATAAAATTAGAACAGTGTGAACGTCGCCTTAAAACGTATTTCCGCTGTGATAATTATTTTGATTTTATCCATGAAATTCTCTTATTCACTTACCCATAGAAGCAGGCAATTCGATAATAACTTGTATTCGATCTTCGATAGTTTGCATGTTAAACACATCTCCAACTTTGTTTGGAGGAAGAAACCTCTGACCGTTTAGCGTATTCATAATGTCTACGTCAGATTTACCGAGGTCTTGCGAGTCGAAAGGGATATTAACGATCCATAGTTTAAGTTGCCATGCTTTACTTCCAGGCATTCCATCGAAGCGTTCGTATTTCAGAATTAATCTCTTAAGATCTTCAACGGTCTCATTATTTTGTACCGTGACTGAGAAATAACAATATATGGGTTCGCCGTGGACAAGACAGAGAAGTGTAGTCTTGGTAGGCAAAGTAGCAGTGGATGAACTAGCAAAAGTAGACGAATGAGTAGTAGGTCTAGTAAGCCTAGAAGTGGGCAAATGAGTAGCAGTGGATGAACTAACAAAAGTAGACGAATGAGTAGTAGGTCTAGTAAGCCTAGGAGTGGACAAATGAGTAGCAGTAGATGACTTTTTTTTTTCTCCTCTCATCTTTATATGAAAAAACCACTGTAAGGAAGCTATTGAGGTTATCGTTATATGTATCAGATTATCGTTGTACAAGGCGCAATGCATGATTATCAAACATCAATATGTCATCAAAGTGGAACATTCATATACATGTACATGTACTATTTTCCAAATAAAAAAAGTTATCGGCTTCGAACATAAAATGTGTATGATGTGTCAATCGGAGAAATTCAACCCATTTACATATTTATTTTCCGATTGCGAACTTGAATTTATCCCATTCGTAATTCCGAAGCTCTTTATTGCAAACTAAACATGATTTTTGCCAATGTCTCAATTCCATGCTGTCTAAAATTTTTTCCGATGCCACATGCACATGGTTAAAAAATTAAGCCCGAAATGTGGCAAAGATTATGCAAATTACATGAAAAGATGATCATATTTAATTTTTACATTTCATTCACAATTATGCCTCTATCCGGAAATTTAAGAGCGGGACTCCAAGAGATAGGCTGATTGATTGAATTTTCGGAATATGTTTCTAGTACTCGTCAACTAGGATTCTAGTACTCGTCAATTAGGATTCCAAAGCAAATAATATTTTTACTGCCTGACTATCGATCCATCACTGAACTGACCATCCAAATCCAAACTCATGTGCTTTTTTCTGATAGTGAACAATAAAAACCGAGAATTTCAGTAGAAACCTTTTTGATGTGTTCCCTTCCAATCACTACTACAATATAGATTTAGGCAGGAGTGAATTGATAGTGTAATGCTTTGTGAAGTGTGCTGTTATAGTAATAACATAATTTTCTTTACTTCACAAAACATTACAAAAATCCAAAATAAAACTATCCAAAAATAGTATAAAATAAATATAATAGCAAAAATAGCTTGATAAAATATTATTCATATTATTTTATCTAGATATTTCACCCTTTTTACCTTTTTTATCTTCTTATTTTTTAATTATCTTTTTCAACTAGTTATTTTATTCTTTTTATCTTTTTCATCTAGTTACTTTACTTTTTTATCTTGATATTTATTTTTTTATCTTTTTTATCTTGCTATTTATTTTTATTTTATCTTTTAATTATTTATTTAAAAGCTTTGACTCAACAAGTTATAATTAAAAATAATATTACAATAAAACAAAAATCTTTTATCAAATAAATTTATATTTATTTTTTAAAGCTTAAATATAAGTGATTTTGATTTATATTAAGTTTATCAAAATACTATTATTGAATTTTAATTAATAATTCAAAATAAATATTTTTTGTTTTTAATTAGTTATTTGATATTTGATATTTGATTTTTGTTATTTTTGTTATTACTAATTATATTATTATAGTTTTGAAATACTTAATACAAGTATAAATAATTAGTATTTAAGAATTAAAACTTAATTATCATAACAAATTTCTTTTTTATTATTACTTTTTTATTTTTTCAATTTTTACTTTTTTATAATTTTCTCATACTTTTATTATTTCTTTGAACTATTATAATTTTAATAAAAATTAATAAGATATAGATATTTTTATTAGTATTATATTTATTTATTTAATTTTCTTTTCTAACTCTTGTTTAAATTTATAAATTAATATTAGTAAACAAATTTATAATAGTATTATCAATAAATTAAAAGCTTTTTATATTATTATTCCAGTTTTTTAATAGTATTTGTATAATAAAAGATCTTTATATAAGTTTTTTCTTATAGTTATAAAAAGAATTATAAAAAAAATTAAGTTTATTACTAAAAGAATTATAATATATAATTAATAAGTTTAAAATAATTTTATTAACAAAACCTCTTTATTATTATACTTTTTACTATTATTTTAGTTGATACTTTATATATAGATTATACAAATATAATATAAAAATAATAATATTAATAAATTATTCCAAGTCTATAACAAAAATTATACTAAATATTAAAGAAAAATTATAAGATAATTACTTGTTACTTTCTAACTTTTAACTATTAATATTGATTGATAACTTAACTAACTTAATTAATATTGCTTGTTATCAAATAAAGTACTACTTATATATAAAATAAATATTATTAAAATATCTAAAATATTTTTTTTAATTAGTATAAAATAAATTAAATATTATTTTTTTAGTATTTCATATTTTTTAACTATTATATAATTAATAATATAACTAAATATAAAAATAAATATAATATTTAATAAGAATATAGTCAAATCTCTTTATAATTACATTTATTTATAGTCACACATCTTTATAATTATTCTAGTTTGCTTTTCTATTTATATATAAATATAGTAAAAAATCTCTCTATAGTTATATTCTCTTTATAGTTATCAAATTTTGCTTTCCTGGAGGTGATAACTATAAAGAGATTTGACTATATAATAAAATATAAATTAATAAAATATAAATATATAAAATAATTAAATAAAATTAAATATTCAATAAAATAAGAAATAAAATATACAATAATATATTTTTTATATAATTTTTAAGCTTTATCAAAAAAATATTAAAATTAAATAAGGATAATAAAAGAAAAATAAGAATTATTAATTATTTTAGTTTTTTGTACTTATTATAAGATACTAAATAGATTAGCTAACTTGATTATAGTCTTATTAATTATTATTAATTTAAGAAATAATAATTTAAAAAGTAAATAATAATTATAATAAGATTTCATCTTATATATAAATATTATAGCAAAAATTCTCTAATAAGATTATTATAATATATAAATTATTTTATAAGTTACTAATATAAATAGTATTTTGATTTCTTTTGTTAAGATAAAATTAAGAATAAGAAAATTTAAATTATATATATGACAGAAAGCATTTATTACAAAATTCAAGTGATATTTAATCAATATCTCAATAAATTAAGATAGAAAATTAATTATAATAATAATTTTTATATAAAAAATTCATGTATTCAAGAAGAGTAATTATTTAAAAATTAATAAAATAAAGTTAAGAAATTAAAAAGTAAATAAATATTTTTTTATAAAGAAAAATATAATAAGAAAAGAATTAATAACTTTATTAATAATAAATTAAACTTTTTTATTATCTATTATAAATATAAATAATATAATTTATTATATTATTACAAATTATTTACTAATTATTAAATTAACTTACAAATCTAAATCTAAATTAAAAAAATAATAGATTGATAAAAATATTAAAAGAAAAAGAAAAATATTTAAAACTTATATTAATTTTTACAGGAATTATATTTATTTAAAAAGAGATAATAATATAGAAGTGTTGTAAAAGAATAAAAAAAAGAAAAAAATATAAAAAAATAAATAATAAGAATAGTTTAAAAGTTTAATTCTTTATATTTATATAAAGCTTTCCAGAACTAAGATAATATAATATAATTAGTAATAATAATAATAATAAAGATTCTTTCACTTAGTTTTTTTTATGAGTAAGAATCTTCTTCAAAGATTTTGCTTTGCAAAATTAACTTTGAATTTGTTTTTATATTTATTGACTTTTTTTGCTTAATTGATATAAATATAATAAAAAAACTTCTCATAGTTATATTCACTTTATAGTCATCAAAGTTTGCTTTTCAAGAATAATAATTATAGAAAAATTTAATTATATTCATAAAAATGTCAAATTAATTGTGTTTTGTAATAGATATTTCTTGATTTTAAATATTTTAAAAGTTTTTTTGCAATTATTCACAAAATTTTGTTTTTCAATTTTTCAATAAATAGTTTTCTTCAATTATTATAAGTATTTTTAATATTTTGATAATTGATTATGGAGTATTACTCTAATTTTGAAGTAGAATTCTAATTTTTGTTTTTTATTTATATTTTAACAAAATTTTTTTACTATTTCTTTAATTTTGTTTCTATTTATTATTTGTTATTATTAATATTTGTTATTTTATAATAATCTCTATTATTAATACTGAGTTTATGAATTTAGTTAGTTTTATTATTTTAATTATTGGTTTAGAAAAATTATAATTTCTTTATAAAAAGTTAATCTTGAAAAATTCTGAACAATCAAATATTTCAAAGAATAATATTAATAATTATAATTCAAAGGTAATTATATTATTAAAGATAAATTATTAAAAATTCAAAATATTGATTGAGTTTTTGAATTATAATGAAATATTATTATTTATTATTATTTTAATTATAATTTATTGAGTTGAATAAGAAATTACTCCATTTAGTTAATAAATTTTTTAATATTTTAATAAAATATTCTTTCATATATAATAAGATTCATTCAGATAAAAATATTATAAATATATAAAAAAAATAAGAATAAAAAGAAATATAAAGATAAAAATAATATAAATTAAAGAAAATGTATTAAGATAATTTTGAAAAGAGATGTAATAAGAAATATATTTTTAATATTTTTCAAAAAAAAAAGTATTATAATATTAAAATTATGATAAAAATATTAATAAGAAATTTATATATTGTTTTTCTAGTTCATTTAATAGTATTTGTATAATAAAATATCTTTATACAGATTTTTTCTTATAATTATAAGAAAAATTATGAATTAAGTTAAGTTTATAATTAAGAAATATGCATGATAAGAATAATAGTTTTTATTAACAAGTTTTTTTTATTACTATTATTACCATAGTAATATAAGTTTCTCTAATTTGATAATCTTTATTTGATTATACGAAATTCTCTTTTTCTTAATTTTTATCATTTATCACCTGATTATTATTATTATTTTTATTTAATCATATAATTATTTCACTTTTATTATTACTCTAAATCTTATATTTATACCCTAAATATCATATTTATTCTCTTTTCCTATTTCTATATACTTTTATTACCCTAAATCTGAGATTTACAATTTCGATCACAAATGTTCTACATTAATATTAAAGTTTCACATATATAACTATATTTAGTAATACTGTGTAGATTAATTAGTTAATACATTTATAGATCTCTTCTTTTATA